GGACGTAAGCAGATGTTGCAGGAAAACTCGGTTCGTTGGTTTTTGTAATCGCAACCGGTTAGGCTGTAGTGATCTTGTTGTTATAGCTTGACTGGGCCTGTGGTGAAGCCCTGGCCTTTGGATCACTTTTGATGGAAAACGTTCATGTCCGCCTCAGTGGCCAAGATGTTGAGCGTGGAACATTCTCTCATAGGCACCACGTTCTACATGACCAAGTCGTCGATCAAAAGGTAGGAGGAGTTCCTTTCTGACCATGTTCTGATACCGAACTCATACAGTAGCACTACAAGTGCTACTACCTGAAAATCAGTTCTCTTTCGTTATGAAAGTACTGGTTGTTTTGAATCACAGATTTACAATCCTCTAAACGATCTGCAAGAGGGTCAAGCACACTACACAGTATGCAATTCCTCCTTGTCGGAATATGCCGTACTTGGATTTGAGCTTGGTAAAATGTGTTTTTTCTCTTCTCTCCTACCCAAGTTTCTTCTGTGAGAGAATATTTTCGATCGTTTTTCATCACGCCTTTCATCTCCATATGTTTTACACTTGACCTTGAATTTTCAGGTTATTCCATGGTCAATCCCAATGCCTTGGTCATGTGGGAAGCCCAATTCGGTGACTTTGCCAACAACGCTCAGAGTGTCATCGATCAGTTTGTTTCGTCAGGTTAGTTATAAACAAGGTTTTTGAGCTTCATGAAATGGAGCTTTCATTTTCTCCTCATTTTTCCCTCGTCAACGCCATGAACCTTTCCAGGGCAATCGAAATGGATTCGTCAGTCTGGTCTCGTGATGCTTTTGCCTCATGGTTACGAGGGAATGGGACCTGAACATTCGTCAGCTCGCCCTGAAAGATATCTTCAGCTATGCAATGAAGACGACGAGATCGATCTTGAAGTAAGCCACGGTTGAAACCGTAGTGGTCTTATTAATCGGAGCACTTAGAAAAATTTCTCGAAAGGACATTATCAGATCTTGATTCTTGTGTGATTTGCAGAAAGTTGCATTCGGTGGCACATTTGAAGCTCAGCAACTCCACGATACGAACTGGATCGTTGCTAACTGCACCACTCCGGCCAACATTTTCCATCTGCTCAGAAGACAAGTGAGTTCGTACAATCAATACTCGATTCCTATCTCTTGTAGATGAGTTCTGTCTGGTCTCTAACAGTCTCATTATGACCTTTGTGTTTGCTTTTGAAGGGTTCCCCTGTTGTTATGCTTCCTTTTAAGATAGCACTGCCCTTCCGTAAGCCGGCAGCGGTGATGACACCCAAATCATTACTTCGCCATCCGTTGGCTCGTTCACCGATCGAGGACTTCTTGCCTGGCACAAAATTCCAGAGAGTCATCCCAGATAACATGGAACATAAGGGAAATGTACAACGTCTCATCTTCTGCACAGGTGCGTTTGGGTTGAGAATTATGTTGGATGGGTGTTAAATAGAATGAGTTTGTTTCAGGAAAGGTGTACTATGATCTCGTAATGGCCAGAAAGCATTTGGGAAAAGAGGATTCGGTTGCGATTTGCCGTATTGAGCAAATCTCTCCATTCCCATACGATTTAGTCCAGGCGGAATGCCAGAAATATCCAGGCGCAGAGCTGATTTGGTCTCAGGAGGTTCGTTACAGTTCCTTTTTCACAAGAAAGTTGTCAGCGTAAGAGTAAAGTAGGATTAAGTGTAATTTGTCATGGTGGGCGTCTGCGATTCATGCCAGCAGTTCTTCTGGTAGCTCCCATAACTTTTTTGATAACCTCGGAGCTCGTTTCACGCGACTAATGTCTGTTTCAAAAAGTTCCCAGTCGTTTTCGGAGATGAGAACGATGCTAATGTGATGTTCTTAGGAGCACAAGAACATGGGCGCATGGGGATATGTGCAGCCGCGTATAAACAGCCTGCTCCAACCTGAAAACCGCACAATTCGCTACGCTGGACGTCAACCTTCTGCTTCTCCGGCCACTGGCAGCAAATACATGCATCTTCAAGAACAAAAACACNTGTGATGTTCTTAGGAGCACAAGAACATGGGCGCATGGGGATATGTGCAGCCGCGTATAAACAGTCTGCTCCAACCTGAAAACCGCACAATCCGCTACGCTGGACGTCAACCTTCTGCTTCTCCGGCCACTGGCAGCAAGTACATGCATCTTCAAGAACAAAAACACACGTTGAGCACTACATTTGATGTTCCGATGAACCAGTTGGATGATTTCAAGGTTTAAAAAGTGTCATGACATCACTGTTGAGTTAGTTCTTTCCACCAGATTGTATCGGGTTTAATCGAAGCATCTTAACTCATCTACTGCTTTACTTCTTGTGTAGGGATCGACGAAATATTGCTTTAAGTCGATTTTGTTCTCGAATAAGCTATTAAAGCTTTGTTTTCCTCATTTTTATTAAGTCCATTGTCCATCATATGCGACGTTGCTCCTCTAGGACTAGCTTTACTCTGGTTATTGACCTAAATATCTGTGAACTGAGATATCTATGAGCTTTTTTTCCGGTGCGATATAGTAGTGACTAATTAATTAGCATAATTGCGGTTGTTAAAAAGCTTTAGTTCATATGTTTGGTATGTAGTAATTGTTTATGAACAATTAGTAATGTGCTTGTTGTCGGTTGTGTTTTGTTAACCGTATTTTGTGCTAGTTAGCTCTAATAAACGTGTTGTATTCGCAATAGGAGTCAGGCGATATAATAGTGACTCCCGTTTTCTGAAGAGGTTTTCCAAAGGCAGTCAATTGGGACTGAATTGGATGGATCAGTGTAGATGATAAGAATTCACGTGCTGCTACTGCCAATGTCATTTGATTGTGTTTTTGGTGATGTTTACATTGATATGGCAAATTTCAGTTATTCTTAACACATTCATTCTGTTCTGTGCTTCGTTTACAATCCAGTTCCATAGACATGCTATTGATCGTTGTTGATACATGATTTATTGTTGTGGTTACCTTTAACGGGGTCAGTTACTGTGGCCAGTCTATCGACCATAACGTCATCCCTCAGTGGTTCTGGTATTCCGCGTACAGAACGTTCCTATCTATCATGAATTGGGCTGATAACAAATTTGCTGCAAATTATTTCAATTCGGATTAACTTTTTCAAATCCTGAATTCCTGTCCCGACTCCCAAAAAATTTGCGACTCGATTTCCATGTTTTTGTGGGAGATGGAGGAGGTGAGGCGTGGTCAAGGGGTGTACATGATGGATTGTTAGGTTGACGCACCACCTGTTCTTTTGCTGAATACTTGATGGGTTGAGTACTTTTGCTCGGTTTTGTGTGTTATCTCGCGTCGCATTTAAGTTCTCCAATTTCTTGCATAAGAAAGTTTGCTTATTGCTTAAAAGTAGCAAATAAATTGTCGTCACTGATTGTTTCCTATTGGCGGTCGTTATCTCGCAGACTTCATTTCGTGATCAATACCTCTTCATTGTAATTGGAAAATACAGGTTTCCACAATGAACTACTTATAGGTCAAACACCGGGTTCAGGTGCTTACGAGAGATGCATCGTGCAGGCATGCTTTGTCGTCTGGCATCGCCGAGCCGTGCGGCTGCAGTAGCCGTACGAGGCTCGTCGTCGAATGTTGGAAAACCTGTAAATCCAATTGCTGCACCTACAACACAGGTGCGATAATCATTAGCTGATGAATAATAAACTTATGGTTATAGATAAGTAAAGGCCTACATGTATGGGCCGAAGCTCTCAACAGCTTTCCTTTTCGAATAAAATTGGTATACGAAAGAGATTTCATGCTGCTTTCACACTATGGTCTATAAAACGACGGAACAACACTCTGAATTAGAAAAAAATCATTTGAGCCCATTTTAATTCCGCTGTTGTCTCTGTCAAAGTCCAATATAGTTCTGTTAAGTCCCCATAAATGATTCCTCATAAGTGATTTAGCCTGCCAGATCTCGGACGAGAGGATGTTTACTGAGACTTCAGGTTCATCCCACTTCAGATTACACGTAATGCAGTGGATCCGGCTCTTGAAGAGATCCAAACTTGAAGTCGTTCGCGACCTTCTGCCATGCCCTATGTGATACAGCAATTGGTCTGTATGTAAGTCGGAGCATGCCATTTTGGCCTCTGAGATGGCCAAATCGTAGAGAACGTAGCAGATGCTTTTCATAGCCTCTGATTCCTCGACAAGTACTGTAGCTATTCTCCATTGAAGGACTGTCCTTCACTGTTCCTTGCATGCCTTCACGAGCTTGTCAATGAGTTAGTGATTGGTTGCAGCCACTGTGGCTTGAGGTGCTGCTTGTCACTTCCGTTCTTTCTGAAAGATTTCAGGCTTCGCGCTTTGCCTATCGAAGCGGGCTAGTGAAATGGAAATCATGAAAGAAAGGATTGAGACAATACTGAGAATGAAGTTCCATATTTTAAGGTTCGACAACAGTCCTTGGCATCTGCTGTGACTTCGGAGCCGTTCATGAATGCCACCTCTTCCATGTACATCGAACAGGTAGACGTTGAACCGATTTTGTTAGAATTTTTTGTGACAGACCATACCGTCCCTGACCGAATGCTACATTTAAGATGTATGATTCCTGGAAAGCTGACCCAAAGTCTGTTCATGCTTCGTGGGACGCGTACTTCAGGAACGTTGAAGGTGGTGCTGCTCCAGGGCAAGCTTATCAACCTCCTCCAACCGCCTATGGTGCTGTCGGAGTTCCAGGAGTTTTACCACTGATTCCAGCAGTAGCTGTTGGCGGTGGATTCACCATGTACGTTCCATTAATCGTTATTTTGTGGTGCAAGTGGTACAATATAGTGAACATGTAAAGGTGACTGGGAGGATGCCATTCATTACTTTCTTGGAAGAGGTTTGAAGCGTTGGATGATTACGTATTATTCAAAATTTCGCCAGTTAGCAGTTGCTGGTTGCCGCCAGAGTTTGCGTTGTCACATTGTCTATGTGGTTTTCCGTTGTACACGTCCCACCGAAGGTGAGTTGCTACCGATCATTCGGCCATGAGGCCAGCAGGGCTGACGTTGCAGAGGGCACGTTAGCAATGTGACAGCGCAAACTCTGAAGCCAGCAGCTGATGGCACTGCCAGGAGTAAATTGGTAAACATTTTGTAAAAGAATCTTGCGTGCAAACGTTCATTAGTCGGTCACTACGGTGACGACAAAAAGTTCAGGAGCTTTTTTTTGTGTGACGGGAGAGTTGTTTGGAAAGCTCCCACAAAATATATCTTGCCAGGTTTCTGCTACAAGATTAGGAACTCGGAAAACATGTGTTAGAAAAGGGATGGGGTCCAAAGCCCATCTTTTAGTTCTGCGAGCTTCCACAGGGAGCTCCCATCAAAGTTTTTGCCCCAAAATTTTTTGGAATGAGAAAAGATATGGGATCTGGTTGGAAACCTTACTAGTGTGGTATCTGTTTTCTTATTGATTAATGCTGTTTTACTAGTTCTGATGTCATTTAGGCCGCAGGTTATGCCATCGCCTGCTGCCATGCCTTCTACAGCAGTTGACTCTTCAGTACAGGCGATCTCCGATCACCTTAAGATCCAACTACTTATTAGAAGTTACCAAGTGAGTTTTTGCTTCCAATGAGCTTATCTATCTCGAATTCCTTCTCTTTTTCTAAGCATGTTTAGCTGGTTATGTGCTTTTTGTGCTTAAGAATTCAAACTTTCGAAAAACTTATATTTTTAGTATTTCCCCGACCCAGTTGTACTTAATGTGAGTGTCTATGTTTACGATTCCTTTTTGCTTCTTCAGACTCGTGGCCATAACATAGCCGATCTCGACCCATTAGGAATAAATAGTGTCGATCTTGATGACACTATACCACCAGAACTTGAACTTTCTTTTTATGGATTTGGAGAGCGTGATCTGGACAGGTCGGGTTTGACTGCTAGTTGGCCGTGAGCAGCCTTTTTTTTATGTGATGGCATGCTTTTGAAAACAACTTTATAGAGAGTTCCTCTTGCCGCCAACTACGTTCATCGGTGGTGAAAAACAGGTTCTAAGCCTTCGTGAAATTCTCCACAGGCTGAAGGTAGGTTGCGCCACGACGTTGATACAGCCGCCTATTTTTGATCAGTAACCCTATTCCTTACAGCAAATCTACTGCAAAACTACTGGTATCGAGTACATGCATTTGAACAATCTTGAGCAACAGGAATGGATTCGTAAGCACTTCGAGGCACCTCGAGTAACGGAGTTATCTCATGAACAGAAGAAGGTATGTAAGCAGAAGAATAAAAAATTCATTTGTCTGTTTTGCTCGACCTTCAGCCTTTGAAAGCTTGATCTCAAGTCGTTTTTTACTTCTCCTAACAGTTTTATGCTAAGGCTGGGGAGTTTTTCTTGGATACGGTGTGTTGCCAACATGCACCCTGATATTGCCAACGAAGATTGCATATAGGATGTGTGTGATTCTGTTTTGCACTAGAGACGCACAGTTTGTCACATTCCTAGCATGCTTTATACATCAAAAGCTCAAGTATGCAGCTTCTTAGACCTAGTCCACACGTTCATATCAAAAAGATACAATGTAGGATTCTTGTTAACAGGATCTCGTATATTCAATCTCTTTTTTTCTTCCTCCCGTTTTGGAAGACCGTGGACATCAGAACCTCAGTGGTTCTCGCCCATGTGGAGAACTCGTGTTTGTGGCCTGTGGGAAAGATTGGGAGTCTATAGTCATAAATTGCGGAATAAAACACTAAGAGCCGTTGGCTCTAAAGAAATCTTATGGTTGGGTGCCCTTGTACTGTAAGTAGTAAGAGGACGGAACCTCCCGATTGGTCTCGAAATACTGCACAATGTTTTCTTATGTCGAGAGGCAACATTTCAGATGACACTGGTAAAGTACGTCATTTAGTCTTAATGATTGATTGGTTTCCTTACAACATTAATTTTTCAGCTGAACTAGAATACGGAGTTTGTTCACTCCAGATTCGCCCAATTTTGGGCCATTTGGTTTTTGCTTTGATAAATAGGCTGCAAATGCAAACCCTATCTCATAACCGGTTTTCGATGACAGATTAGTCTGAGGACTATTGAACTGGAGCGATGACGTATAGTTTGACAAACTGTACGTCATCGTTCCAGTTCGTCATTCCCAATAGGACGAGACTTATCCCAATCGGACGTGCTCCTACTGGGAGAAGACGATTTTTTGAGTGTTTCTGTATAATAGGGATAACTGAGAAACTGTTCACTCTTCCAAAACATATCTGTTCCTATTACCTGATACAGATTGGAGTGAACCTTCATTATTTTGTACGCGAAATCGTTCAGAGCACTGGAAAATGGATTTGTAGTCAGCTATCCATAGAACGTCTTTTTGGTTGGAGGGGATTCTTTCGGAAAATTTAACTCACTGAATTGTAAGGATGAGTCATTTTTTATTGTTCAGGTGTTGTTCAAACGTCTGATCCGCTCCACTAAATTCGAAGAGTTCCTTGCCAAGAAGTGGCCCAGTGAGAAGAGGTTCGGTTTGGAAGGATGCGAAGTGCTGATCCCTGCTGTGAAACAGGTATGGCAGCGAGTATGAATCCTTTCTAGGAAAATAATACCCAGTGATAGAGCTTCCTGTTAGTTTCATCTTTACTTTTCCCCTTAAGGTTATCGATACATGTTCGAGCCTTGGGGTCGACTCTGTGGTCATTGGAATGCCTCATCGTGGTCGGCTCAACGTACTGGCTAATGTTTGCCGTCAACCGTTGTCAACCATTCTCTCACAGTTCTCTACCCTCGAACCAGCCGACGAAGGTATGTATTTAGTTACTTGGATTTGCGATAAATAACTTGTAATACTTTACTGGATGGAATCATTTGAAGGGTCTGGCGATGTCAAATACCACTTGGGTGTTTGCGTTGAACGCCTTAATCGTCAATCCCAACGTAAAATAAAGATTGCTGTGGTAGCGAACCCGTCACATCTTGAGGCCGTAGATCCAGTTGTCATGGGCAAGGTAGGGTAATTTCGATTACAACTAGTAGGTTCAAAGTTGTACGGGTCTATTTGAGGTACGTGCCGAAGCTTTCTATGCCGGTGACGAGAAGGGTGACCATAAGATGGCTATCCTTATGCACGGAGATGCTGCTTTCTCTGGTCAAGGCGTTGTAATGGAAACATTCAATCTGGATGACTTAGCAAGCTATACTACTCATGGCAGTATTCATATCGTTGTCAACAATCAGATCGGTTTTACTACCGATCCCAGGTGTTCACGGTACGTCGATAGAAGTTACTTTGAGTTTTTCCCTTTACTTTTAGTTCAATTACTGGTTTTCGTGGACAAGTTTTGTGTCGTGCTAATGTATAGCAAATTCATGGGAAATTCAGCTGTTTTTCCTGTTTTCATCCATTTTTCGGTATTTTTGATGTCAGCTTAGTATCTGCTTCCCAATTATTTTTTCCTTTTTCCTGTGTTCGTTCAAAGTTGATTCGGTCCCATACCTCAGTTGAAATTAATTAGTGAGCCTTTAACTCTGTTCAATCTCTTAGGGATTGCGGGTTTCCATGCTTCTCTTACACACCAGTGTTCAGCCGTAGGGGCTCACGTTGATCCTAATCCCTCTTGTTTAGTTCATCACCATATTGTACGGATGTGGGTCGTGTTGTTGGCTGTCCGATATTCCACGTGAATGTGGATGACCCTGAAGCTGTCATGCATGTATGCAACGTAGCGGCTGAATGGAGGCAAACCTTCAAAAAGGATGTCATTATTGACTTGGTGTGCTACAGAAGGTATGACGTTTCTGTCTGTTTTGTAAACAAATATATAAACAGACCCTGATAACTTTTTTGGGCATGTAACTTTTTGCAGACATGGTCACAATGAGCTTGATGAACCGATGTTTACCCAGCCGCTTATGTATCAAAGAATCAAACAACAACCCACAGCTCTTGAAAAGTATCAGCAACATATCATCTCAGAAGGTGTCGCTAATGAGCAGTACGTCAAGGTGCTGACTAGTTATTTCGGTGTTATGTTCATCGTATTTTCCTGAATTCTAGTTTTTTCTCAATTTTTCAGGATGAACTCACTAAATACGGTCAAATTTTGGAGGATGCATACGAAAATGCTCAGCAGGTCACTTATGTAAGGAATCGTGACTGGTTGGATTCGCCTTGGGATGACTTCTTCAAACGTCGTGATCCTCTGAAGGTAGCACTACTGCCTTGCCTGCTCAGTGGGTGCCGCTATGTTAACCCAATCTTTCCAGTTGGTCAGCACTGGTATCGATGAAGATAAAATCAAACATATCATTGAGAAGTTCGGTTCCTATCCTGAAGGATTCCATCTACATCGTGGTCTTGAACGAATTCTGAAGGGACGTAAGCAGATGTTGCAGGACAATTCGGTATGGTGGTTTCTGTGATTGCTCCCAGTTATCTGTTCGTAATCTTATGGTTATAGCTTGACTGGGCCTGTGGTGAAGCGCTAGCGTTTGGGTCACTTCTTACAGAGAATGTTCATGTCCGCCTTAGTGGACAAGATGTGGAACGTGGAACCTTTTCCCACAGGCACCACATTCTGCACGACCAAGTGATTGATCAAAAGGTAAGTTGGGCGGTCTAATTTCTATTTGTATGATTTACTCTGTTGCATAACATCTTATCATATCAGGCCCCTTATGCAGCCGACATTTTCCTTATAAAAAGTTTGTGTTCGCAGCCCTTGTTAACGCTGCCGAAAAGTTTTGTGAGGGCACAGTATAAAACAATGAAAAGCTAGTAATGGCGAGTAGTTTTTTTCCTATTTCAGACTTACAATCCTCTAAAT